TAAGTTTGTACTGTTACATGTAACCTCCATGGTAACCACAAAGAAAATATCTACAAAATGTACACAAAAGGAAATGAAAAGGAAATCAAAATGTGTCACTAAGAAAAATGAACTAAAAACAAAGGAAAGTGATAATTGAGGAAATGAGAGACAAAAAAACTGTAAGACAAAGAGAAAACGTCAAAATGGCAGAAGTTCCACTTCATCAGTAATTGCTTTAAATGTAAATGGATGTTTCTGTCCGATCAAAAAGCAGATATTGGTAGAACAGGGTTGGGGAGATGTGATACAATTATATGCTGTCTTTATAGATACTTAACAGATTCACTATAGATCTCAGGATACCATAGTTTGAAAGTGGAAGAGTGGAAAGAGATATTCCACACAAATAGTAACTGAAAGAGAGCAGGGGTGGCTATACTAATATCAGACAAAATAGACTCTAGGTTAAATTTAAATTAAAAACTGTTACAAGAGACAAAGCAAGACACTACATGTAAATAAAAGAATCAGTTCTACTAAGATATAATAATTATAAACATATGTACCAAATATCATATCTCCAAAATATATTAAGCAAGCATTGATAAAATTGGAGAGAACAAATAGACAGCTCTACAGTAATAGTAGGAAATGTCAATACCCCTCTCTCAATACTGGATAGAACCACCTGTCTCGAACAATACTGCAGACCAATTGGACCTAGCAGACACATACAGAACACTTAACCCAACAAGATTCCATTAGAATATATGATTTTTTTCTTAAGTGAATATGGAACATTCTTCAGGAGAGACCATACGTTAGGCCACAAAACAAGTGTTAATAAATTTTAAAAGATTGAAATTATGCAGCGTCATTCCTAATTACTATGAAATAAACTAAAAATATCAGAAGAAGAACTGGAAAATTCACAAATGTGTGGACATTAAATAATACACTTTTAAACAACCAATGGGTAAAATAAGAAAAATTAGAAAATACCTTAGGACAAATGAAAACACAATTTGCAAAAACTAATGCAAAAACTAATGCTGTAAAAGCAGTACTAAGAGGGAAATTTATAGCTTTAAATACTTACATTTTAAAAGGATAAAATATTTCACTTCAACAATACAACTTTATGTTTTAAGGAAGTGGAAGAAGAATAATGATCTAAACCCAAAGCTAGCAGAAAAAATAAAATAATAAAAGATATGAGCAAAGATTACCATAATTCATTTGAGAATGTTGCCTAAAAATACAGTAAAGAAACTCAATATTATTTTCTTTTCTATTAGAAATTCAATGATATGCACTCTTAAAACACTTCTCCAGGAAACGATATATTATTATAGACAAATTAACCTGAAATAGAAACAGTTGTTTGATTCTTCTACTTGTTCCTAGAGTTGAGAATGAAAAAGGCTACATTCTTGTTGAGATTAGTTTCCAGAACTGAAGCCTCAATGGAGACTTGGTCTTTTCCATTCTCTGCAGAATATGGCTTTAAATTATGTCCTTAGAGTTCTCTCTAGCTTATCCCATGCTCTGGGTACCAGCCTTCATACTTACACCACACTGCATCACTGGCATCACTGCTCTTAATGAGAATGTGGGAACAATTTCCTAATTTCATGAAATAAGAAGTGGACAAACAGCTCAATTAATAAATGAATATCTAAAATTAGTTTTGATTATAGTTTTAGTATTTTGAATAAGGTGAGCCAGATGGAAAGAACGTCCATCCCCTGTGCAACTTAGGTAGAAAAAATAATTCCGTTAATAATTTAATCAGAACAAATGATTGCTCTTAGGAATCAAATGTAGCAGGAAAAGATAAATCTTTAAGAACTAAGGCTCTTAAAATATAAGAATATAAGATAATAATGAGAAGCTGAGTCTAAGAATTTATAGTAATATCAGAAGTACACCAAAAGCTGATTGAATGGCACAGTTCTGATTTAAAGTCATTACGCTACCACGGAGCTCAAACTGTCAAAGTGGATTTATGAAAATTATACAGCTTACTTAATACCGAGTTTTACTAATTGATGAAGAGTATGAGCAAAAAGTAAGCAGAGAAACAGCAACACCCATCTCTGAAAAGGCCCAAAAGATCTGACATACTTCCAAAAAAATCTATTTTTGCACTGTAATGTACTTTTTGTCTGAGTAGGAGATTAATGTTACTGTATGTACCACGTACATGCCGTACATGTTAGCCCTACGAGGCCATTTAAGTTTAGAGCTTCTTAGGTTTTACATTCCTTTAGTTGCACAGGTAGGAAACCTACATGACTAACTTTAGCTCTCCAAGTTGTGCCCTGTACTTCACAAATTCCAGATTCATCTACAATAAGCAATGCAAAAAGCCTACTAAAAACATTCTTAGATGAGAACTTCTTGGGTTATCTTCCTGCTTGTAAATACCATCAGAGTGTTTACAAGGAGGGAAGAGTAATGAAGCTGTTGCTAGTTCTTTCTCTTTTGTGAAGACACAGATGAAGTGCAGTGCTGGGAGTGGCAAGGGATTGACTCAAGCAAGATTCAGAAATATACAAGTGATTCAATGGCCCTTTATATTCAAGTCTCCAAACTTGAGTTTTATACACCATCTTCTCAAAGGAATAAAAGAAAAAATTCAATCATATACAACAATTTTGTCTATTATAAAGTTGAATGTTTGCCCCACACCTGGCCTGCCATCGTGCATTAGGGGACCATGGATGATCAAAAGAATCCCTGAACTGATGAGGTCACTGCTGATGCTCTTATTTATGCTAAATTGTGAACATTTGATGCACATGGGTCCATGATTCTTTACCAACCATACCAATCACGTCTAGGACAGATAAGGGGGAGGAAGATGGAGTGCATGCAACACCCTACCAAATTCTCTGCCATCATCTGACTCTGCACCTACTCCATCTTCCCTTCAAGACCAATGGAAGGAGGGTGCTGCTTATGGTAATCAGATCACCAGGTTGCTGTTCCAGGGCCACAGGCAGGGAGTACAACCAAAAGCACAGGCTTCCCTTTATCTTTTTGTTCCTGCCCAGCTACGATGTCAATTCTTGCCCCGAAATTTGACCTATCCCTCTTTTCCAGTCCAAGTAACATGGTTTTTCTTACCTGCATGGCTTCATTGAAACCAAAACTAACATTTCCAAACACCTGTCTGTTAAAAGTAGAGATGAATTTTGTTTTTCAAATTTGAAAATGCTCATTAAAATAGAAAACTAATGTGTGCCAGCTGAGTAATACTCAGATGTCTCTGTACAAGAACCCTTCATCCATCTCTGCTTCGCAGTCCTCCTGGGTCTGGGAGCTGACCTCAGGCACAGCCAGGCAGGGAACTCATGGCTCACTCTCAGTACAGGGGGTGGAAACCAGAATAATCAAGACCAGTCTGGCAACATAGCAAGACCTTGTCTCTACAAAAAAATTTAAAAATCAGCCAGGCATAATAAGTGTGTGCTTGTGGTCCTAGCTACTCAGGAGGCTGAGGCAGGAAGATACCATGAGTTCGAGGCTCAAGTAAGCTATTAAATAATGGTACCACTGCGCTCCAGCCTGGACAAAATAGCAAGACCCTGTCTCAAAAAAGGGGGGTACATAATAATATATCTTCCCATTCCATATTTATCCACCCCTTACCCCTGAGAAATGACCATAATATCCTTGCAGAACTATTGTATGTATACATGAGCAAGTATGCACAAGCTATTTCTCTGTGTCCTGTACAGACATGGAAGCATTTCTTAAATAATATCTAACAACCTATTTTTTCTTAAACATGTTGGGTAATTGTTCTATAATCAGTTATGAAGACCTCCTTTGAAGAATTTTTTACAATTTTCTTATTATTAGGAAATAGAACTTACATAATAGTTGCATAATTATGTACTGTGTAAATTATAAGCACACATCTTTTACTGCCATACAGATTTTTTTTAAATTACGTATGTGGAATAGGCATCTCATAAAGCAGACATTTAAAAAAAAAAATGAAAGAAAGGAAAAGAAAAGGGACTCTTCTGCAGCACAGAAACCTCTTCATTCCTACAAAAAGCTAGGTTTAAAACCAGCCTACTATTGGTTATTTTTGGTTTTTTTTTTTGTCTTTTGTTTTTTGTTTTTTATTTTTTGAGGTGAGTCTCTCTGTCGCCCAGGTTGGAGTGCAGTGGGTGCCATCTCGGCTCACTGCAAGCTCCGCTCCAGTTCACGCCATTCTCCTGCCTCAGCCTCCTGAGTAGCTGGGACTACAGGTGTGCACCACCCCGCCTGGCTAATTTTTTAAAATATATTTTTTTAGTAGACACGTAGGGTTTCACGCATGTTAGTCCAGATTGGTCGTCGATTCTTCCTGACTCGTGATCTGCCTGCTTGGCCTCCCAAAGTAACGTGGGGATTTACGGCGTGGAGCCACTGTGCCGCTGAAGCTATTTTTGGGTTTTTATGAATGCTTTTCCCAGTTCGTCTTACAGGTATCTCTCTGAAACATTATTTGTTACTGTATATATTTGGCTTAGGCATTGCTTTATCTGATGTGGGACTTGAGGTGTAGGTTTTCTTGGCATAAGTTTCTGTTATCCTGATCTAGTACTGTCACCTTATTAAAAGTATATATGGTGGGGGCCATTGCAGTGTGGCTCGGATTGCCTGTTATAATCCCAGAGGTACTTTGGAGCCAAGCGGAGGCGGATCACGGAGTGCAGAAATACCGAGTCATCCTGGCCCAACGATGGTGAAAGACCCGCTCTGCTTACTAAAAATAAAAAATTACGCTGGGGCATGGTGGGTGGGGGCCACTGTAGTTCCCCCAGTTACTTGGAAGGTGGAGGCAAGAGGAAATTGCTTATTCCAGGAGGCGGATGGGTTGCGTGAGTTGAGGAATGCACCCGCTGCCCACTTTTCCAGGCCTGGCGGGGACGAGAGCAAAGAACTCGAGCCGGTCTCTAAAAAACAAGAAAAAAGAAAATATGTATACATATACACACATATATATGGTTAGAATTTTAAAATCCAGCCTGATGATCATTTTGCTTTTAACTAAAACATTTAGTCCAATTACACTGAATACAATTATTGATATTTTCAGTTTATATGTAACATTTTATTTTGTGCTATATCTTTTTTTTTGTCTCCCTTTGGATTGAGTGTATTTTTGTTATACTATTGTTTTTCTTGTCACTTGCAAGTTATTTGCACAGTTTATTTTCCTTCGTTAGTTATTTAAAGATATTAGGCATTACTTATAAACCATAAGATATTAGGCATCACTTATAAACCATAGTTTAAACTTAATCAATGTCTTTACTCATGCTCTGGATAAAACAAGAACTTAGAACCCTTTAACATGGTTACTCTTTTTTCTGTTTTAGAGATTTTGTTGTAGATTGCAATTGTATGTTTGCAAGCCCAGAAGTCTTTATTATTACTGATAAACTCCATCTTGAGATTCAAGCAACCTGCCTCTCCATTTGCCTGTTCAAACCTGGAGAGGGCTCCTCCCGACCGTTGCTTGCCTTGAGGTTATACCTTCGGGTTAACATTTTGTCTTGGTGGTCTCCCTGCACCCTGTCCACACCTTTGAATATACCCTTATTATTAAAGTCTTCTTAAATGACTCAGTTTGAGAGTGCTAGGACCCTGATGATATAATCTTATACCCATTTTAAGACACTGATCGTTTTTAGCACCTAGTGGAGAGTTCTGTGAAGGGAAAGGACCTTTGAAGCAAGCAGCCTTGCCTGGGAATCTTGGCCCCAACTCCTAAAAGGTCTCAAAGAACAACACAACCACTCTCTCTACATGCCCCCTAAAATTGTAAGATGCTCTTCTGCACCAGGTGTGTTCCATTGAGTCCGGTGAAATAAAGGAGAAAAGGAAGCAATAGGAGGAGATGGAAAATGTTGCATAAGGACAGGAATTAGTGTTCACAAACCTGTTCCTTCTGGAGATTTTCCAGGACATTTTCTCTGATCTGCAGTAGCTGCACTTCTGGGAGGGCACCTGTGCTGAGGTCCATGTCCAGCTTGGTCCAGACAATGTAGAACTTCTTTCCCATGTCCTCAGTGGTTTTGGCAAGCATCACATGATTCATGCTGAATTGTGCAGATGCAACCATGATGAAGTCATACTGGTTGAACTGCATTTCCATGAGGTAGTTCTCCAGGGTTTTGGTGGCAGACCCTGTGCCAGGCAGGTCCCACAGCACCACATTTGGAAAGTGGGAAGAGAAATAGGGGGCACATCTTTGGGTAGCTTTTACCAGCCCAGTAGGAGGTGAGGGCTTCCCCTCATGTCCTGTGTTTCAAAGGGCACTGATAAAGGTATTCATCCCACTGCCAGAGTCCCTGCCATAGCAATGTTGACTGGTGTCCTGGACACTATCTTCAGAGTCTCCTTGATGGCAGAGGCCACCTCTGGCAAGTTCCCACCTACTAAGGCTTTCTCAACATTCGTGGCCTCCGTCTTTGATAAAATACCCCAATGCTGGCCGGGTGCGGTGGCTCCTGCCTATAATCCCAGCACTTTGGGAGGCTGAGGCGAGCGGACCACGAGGTCAGGAGATTGAGACCATCCTGGCCAACATGGTGAAACCCTGTCTCTACTAAAATACAAAAAATTAGCCGGGCGTGGTGGTGTGCACCTGTAGTCCCAGCTAATCAGGAGGCTGAGGCAGGGGAATCACTTGAACCTGGGAGGCAGAGGTAGCAGTGAGCCGGGATCACGCCACTGCACTCCAGCCAGAACGAGACTCCGTCTCAAAACAAACAAACAAAAAAAACCAATGCTTATGGTGTGGCCAAAAGGGTTTAGGATGCAGCTAATGGAGTGTGAGGGGCACGTGGGAACTCTGTCGTATCGGTGGGCACTGGAGTAAGCTGTGGAAGTAGAAGAGCAGGTGAGTTAGGATGGACAGGGTGCACATGAATCATCTGACTTTTAGCATCCCCAGCCCTCAACAAAGACTGCAGCAAAGACATCTGGATTAAAAACAATCAAAAAACACTCATTCAAGCAATGTGCACATTCCTTCAGGGAGCAAGAATGGTAGGACCCCTGAGGAACCCTCTGAGGCCGGTTGTGCCTCCAATAGTCAACCTCCAAAGCAGGACTGTGGTCATGAGACGGCTTGAATAGCAGGGAATGAACCAAGTCTCCTGAAAAGCCCGAGAATTTTCTGTCTTTTCCTCTTTTACTCTATCCTAACTGTCTGCTCCTTCACAAGTTTCAGTTCACAACCAAGGCCAGACAAGTAAAAGAGATCTATAGATTTCTCTGCTGAAGATGGCGCCAGAGGACATAAAACATCCAATTCCCATTGCTTACTTGTAGCTGTGGTCGGTCTCTGTTTAACACTTGCTTCATCAGGCAGGGGAGCACACGTGCAGAGCAGTACTGAAATGCTGCAATATATACAAAGTAAGCCACCAGCCTTTGACCCCCCCGAGCTTCCCTTAGGATTCTCACGTTGGGCCCAACTGAAGTGAGGGAGAGGAGAGAGTATACTCAAATGCTCTGCTCTTCTTCGAGGCAGTGATTAAACAATTGATTATCACTGTGTTTGCCAAACCTGGCTCTTGCAGGTTCCCCACGGGGCCAGGTATTTGAGACTGATTAAAAGAAGGTGATGTGATTCTCTACTCCTAGCATGGCCTGGCAGGTCTGTTTCACATACTCACTGTGAACACACACAAAACTCTACACAGAGCCTCTCACACCTGGTGTGCACACTCACCCATGCCCAGCCATGTTCACTTACCCCACACACTCGCGCTTACACCGTCTCACTCACCCTCAGCATGCACACATACACTCGCTCGCACTCTGTGCACAGGCCCACACATATTCACACTGACACATGTTCACGCACCCTAACATACTTAAGCTGACATGTGTAAACATGAATACACACATTCATCCCTGTTGCACACACACTTGCTCACTCAGGCTGCAACATGTTCACTTACCCCACACACAAACACACATTCACTCGTGGTGCCAGGTTCACACAAACTTACGTTTGGTGCACACACGCTCACACACTCTGTGCATGTATATATACACTCATGTAGGCTGACACATGTTCACTCACCTACCCTCACTCATGCTTGGTGTGCCCAGTGCCCACACATTCTCTCACATGACACATGTTTGTACACTCATGCACACACAGAATCTTGCCTCCTGAGTGCCCAGGACAATGGATTTGTCCAAGTCTGTGGCCCTTTTAGAGGGCCCAGGAAACAGAGAACTGGCTCCAGCTGTCCGTCTATGAACTATGAGGAAAGGCCCTAATGGAGGAGATGGATGAGAGAGGCCCTGTTCTCTGAAATGTATGTGAGTCTTCAACTTCTCGGTGCCTCACTTGCCTTGGGAAGATTTTATAACCCACCATATGGCGAGAGCAGCAACTGATCATTGACTTCTTCATGCCAGACTTCATCTGTGGCTGCTATGTAAAGTTTCTCCACTGTAACATTAATTATTTTGGTTTATGTAAATAACTAGTTTCTTCTCATCAAATGCTACTTAGATATGGTTGCTTTTAGTTAGTCCACAAAGAGGAAGAGGTAACCTATGGAATCTGGAGGGAAGGGGGCAGGGCAGTTACCAGGTTCAAATGTAGTCCCTCAGCAGTCTAGCAGGAAAATGGAGTGGGGAGGTCTGGCCTTCGGAGTTTTGCCCACATGTCTCTGCATGGATAGCTGGCAGGCTGGTTAAGGTGAGGAATCGAGCACTCCCCTTCCCCACAACGTTATACTTGATAGATGCACAAGGGAGTGGAACAGGAGCACATGCAGGGCCGGGGATGGGCTTGGGCCTGTGGCAGGGCCATTTTCTAACCCAAGTAGTCCCAGAAAGTATTGCTTCATCAGGTATTAAATGATTGGCATCATATGAATACATACACAGGTCTTGGCATTAACCATTAAACATTTCCACTAGAATCTTTACCATTGTATTCTTTGTGTCCAGCAGGTGTTTAACATATTTTTGTTTGATTAATAAAACACAGTACACTTTGTGTGTTATTAACTTATTAACAGACAGTTAAATTAACTTCCCTTTCTAAACTGTCCCTGCTGAGCACGGGGCCTACTAATATACATCTGATTTTCAAGCACACTCCACTTGGGTACGACACAGGCCAGTGCAGGGTACTGACTGTCCACGGTGAGTGTGGGAGGTCAGCAGAAAACCCTATAGTTTTCCAGGCTTTTTCTGTGACCGTGTCTGTGAACAGAGCCAGCATCTTCAAACCCCATGGAAAAGAGCCTTAGCCCCTGCAGCCCCAGCTCAACTGTCCCACCCCCAGGCCTCGATCATCTGATCCACTTCTCCTGGGCCCATGTGAAGCCTCACCAGCTGCACACTGGACACCACTGAGCCCACAATAATTATTTGTACAATTGAGATACTTTATCTCAGTTACACCAGGACTCTTCTGTGTTGTGTCTGCCCAGGCCCCTGTGCCACTGCCAGCCCAGTGAGGGCATGGTTTCCTCTGCATGAGGTTGCAGTGTCTTCCAGGTGTTTTAGTGGGTCTATGTGTTTGTGTGCATGAGCCTCCAGGAGCACTGACCTGGAAGTTTAGAAGAGGTCATCAGAATTCAGCCTGGGTTGCAATTGCTCCAAGCTCGGCTCTTTGAATATCTTGCCCAGATATATTGCCAGATACCTTCCTCCAGACAGGAGAAGAGGAGTCCTTTTGGAAGAGGAGGAAGAGGCCCTTCGAAAGGGAGTCACGGGACCAGGTTCAATTACAGAGTGGCAGCCATACAAAAAAAAAAAAAAAAAGAACCAGACCCTAGAAGGAGCATATTCCTAAATTTACTAAGTGAGCACATAGGAACCAGTACACATGCACACAAATACATGCACACAGGCGAATGCAAGGTATTACAGAACAATTTGCCTTAAATACACTCTATAACTCCTATTCCATTCTATGAATGGTTTTTCATCTGTTTGTTTTTTAATGCTGGTCATAATCTGATGAATTAATTTCACGAGTAAAATATGCAGAATGAAGAACACAGATTAATAGATTTCCCATGTAAGGTTATATATAGTTAATTCCATACCAATTATCTTGATCCCCAAACAAAGGTACTTACAGCAAAGTAAGACCTGGCCTTAGCACAGATGTGGAGGCTGGTGCATCAGAGAACTCCATGAACCCGGAAACCAATGTGGATCAAATCCCAGGCTTTTGCTCTGTTTGATCACTATCAGAAAAGGCTGACGGAAAAATCAATGTGATGATTCATGTAGAATAATGTAACTGGATCCCCAGCTCTCACCTTACACAAAAAATAAACTCAGCTGGGTGTGGTGGCTCATGCCTGTAATCCCAGCACTTTGGGAGGCTGAGGCAGGTGGGTCACGAGGCCAAGAGATCGAGACCATCTTGGCCAACATGGTGAAACCCTGTCTCCACTAAAACTACAAAAATTATACATATGTGACAAACCTGCACATTGTGCACATGTACCCTAGAACTTAAAGTATAATAATAAAAAATAATTAAAATTAGCTGGGCGTGGTGGTGTGCACCTGTAGTCCCAGCTACTCGGGAGGCTGAGGCAGGAGAATTGCTTGAACCTGGGAGGCAAAGGTTGCAGTGAGCCGAGATCGTGCCACTGCACTCCAGCCTGGTGACACAGCAAGACTCCGTCTCAAAAATAATAATAATAATAATAATAATTTAAAAATAAACTCAAGATGGATCAAAGACTGAACTCTAACTTGAAACCATAAAAATTCTAGAAGATAACATTGGAAAAATTCTTCTAGACATTAACATAGGCAAAGAATTCATGGCTAAGATCCCAAAGCAAATGCAGCAAAAACAAAAATAAATAAATGGAACCTATTAAACTAAAAAGCTTCTGCACAGCAAAAGAATTAATCAGCAGAGTAAACAGACAATCCACAGAGTGGGAGAAAATCTTTGCAAACTATGCATCTGACAAAGGACCAATACCAGAATCTACAAGGAACTCATACAAATCAGCAAGAAAACAAATGAATAATCCCATCAAAAAGTGGGGCAGAGAACATGAATAGACAATTCTCAAAAGAAGATAGACAAATGGTCAACAAACATGAAAAAATATGCTCAACATCCCTAATAATCAGGGAAATGCAAAGTAAAAACACAGTGAGATATCACCTTACTCCTGTCAGAATGGCCATAATTTAAAAATTAAAAAATGACAGATGTTGGCATGCAGGTGGTGAAAAGGAACACTTTTATACTGCTGGCGGTAATGTAAACTAGTACAATCATTATGGAAAACAGTATGGAGATGACTCAAAGAACTAAAAGTAGATCTACCATTTGACCCAGCAATCCCACTACTGGGTGTCTACCCAGAGGAAAAGAAGTCATTATATGAAAAAGACACTTGCACATGCATGTTTATACTAGCAGAGACCTTGGGCATCTGCTTCACCTCTCAGAGAATCTCATTTCCTTCTGTTTTAAATGGGGACCATAATAGAAGCCCCCAGGGTGTTTAAAGTAAGTGAAGCGATGCCCCAGTACAAGGGCTGTAAAAGACTGGTAAGATGATAGTGTGTCTGCTTTCTGGAGATTTACAGAACTAAGAAGTTGCAAAACCACTTATGCAGCTATGAGATTGTGAGATTGGCTTTGTCCCCCCTTACTCCTTGCCCGGGTCAGAACAGGACAACTGTCAGATTGAGGAGGCAGAAAGGGCATGTGGATGTGCCTTCACCAAAGGCCAACAGTAAGGGCCAGAGGGAAGAGCCCAGTGTGCAGAACACAGTCAACAGGACCTCAGTTGAAAGATAATGGGGCCCAGCTGTTGCAGAGACCGAGGCGGTGAGAGGAAAACCTGCGGATTAGGGCTTTGCCTATCTCAAAGATCCAAAAAGGAGTATCAGAGAGGGTCCCTTATGGTCCTTCATACTAGAGGATAGGAAGTAACATTCACTACCCCCCAGAGACCATTAAGGCCAGATTGCAACCATATCACAAGCGAGACTTGTCCTGACTTTCACCACTGCCTCTCCTCTCCCCACCTCTCTACCCTTCAGCACCCTCCCCACTCCCACACAGACACCTTGTAAGGGTCCCAAACATCAGACGCTCATAGCATAGGAGGTAGGAGAAAGAAAAGACCAGAAGCTGACTCTTTTCTTGTCCCTCCTGCTGATTTCTCATTCCAAGGTGGGACTGAGCTGGGGCGAGGGAGATGTAAGTTCAACAAGGGTCTAGGGCTTGTTTATTAGAATGTCTGGACTTCCGATTACCTGAGTGTGACCGGGAGAGAGTATATTCCCTGAGCATGGCCAGAGAATTAATGAACCTGTGTGGTATTCCAGCCAATCCTTGGGGACTATCATGGGTCCCTTTTGGAACTGTGATGCGGGGGGCAGTGATGTGAAGGCATCAAGACGCTTTCAGTGATTCCAGAGCAGATTCCTTAATTCTATCTCACTCTGCCCCTAGGACCCAAAGGCCAGGTCTCCCTCAGTGGAGCATAGGCAGAGAAGAGATTTCAGACTCATCAGTACTCGTTGTGGGGGAAGAAGACCCCAGGGGCTGAGCAGGGAAGGGAAGGAGGAGGCTCTCACTGGCCTTTGCACTGCCCCCAGAAATCCTGGTCTGTCATCCCAAATCCAGCTCTGCTGACTGAAGACTTGTCCACTCTTCTCAGTCACTGAGAGCCCTAATTTTGGCCCCAGTGGCTTCTCACCCTCCCCTCTCTCACTAAGCCATCCACATCGGGCAGCCTGAGTACTGGACAGAGAGCCTTTCACTCTCCTATCCTTGGAAATACTGGCTTTGTTGGGAAGAGGAAAAAGCATAATCTGATTTCACTTTTCTT